TGAAGAAGTGGGGCGTCTTTGGGTAAAGGTTTTGGGATGTCTTGTTAGAGGAATGGGTCCCTAGACGGGGGAAAACCCAGGTTAGTTCTGGGGAGGCTGTAAATGGGGTTATGGCAGGAGTGACGGTTTGTCGACGAAGGTCTAAAGGTTTTGAAGGTGCAGCAGTAGAGGGGGGGAGGTGCTCAGGACGGTGCTTCGATGTCAAAATGCGGGTGGAGGGGGGGACACAAAGAGGACGCAGCACATCGGATCTGAGATGTCCACCCCGCCCAGGGGCCCGGGGGAAAAAATCTTGGGTGGAGGTAAAAGCAGAGGGGAATGATGAACCAAAGGATCGAGGGAAATGCAAGGTGTTTCCCCAAATAAAGGGGGGAGGGACGGGGTGTTGCAAAATGAACTGGGTTTTGAAGTCAATGCAGGGACAAAGGAAAACCTTTGTTAAATTTCAAGTGTTTTATAAAAAATTTTAAGGGGTTTTGAAGCTGAGGGGAAGCTTAAGGGTTTAATGAGTTTTTGGGTGGACTTGGTGGGGATGTGGATTTTACAGGAAATAATTTTGGGCCTGGTTATGAGTTGGATATGAGTGGTTAAATGTGTCAGGGAACATGCGACACTTTTGAAAGGTGGGGCTCCCCTTTTTGGGTAAAGGAAACTACCCAAATTTATAGAAAGGCGTAGTAAAGGGGGGGGAGGGGGGGGGAAATTTAAGTGGATGGAACTTGGGGTGGGGTTTCCCTTATTTTTAGTAGTGTTAGGGCCCCAGCTGAGGGTGCGGTTTTAAAAAACAAAATTTTTGTTCAGGACGTACGGTTATTTTTTACGTGGTTTACCGAATGTTGCAATAATAGGCGGAGTTTGGAAAATTGCTGATACGTGAAAAAGATGTGGGGGCCTAGAGGTGCGGGGTTTTTGTTTGGGTATATTGGGGGATATTTGACCGGGGGGGGGGTTTTAAAGGGATGTGTGTGGGGGGGGGGGATGGTAGAGCATACCTTCTTTAAAACGGGGTTTTGCGGCGAGGGTTGGACCGAATGTACGTGCCTTGGCGGTTCTGTGGGAGGGTGAATGTGATAGATGTGGTTTTTTCTGATAAGGGGTTATAATAGTGTGGATATTGAGGGTGTGCTCGGGGGGGTCCATCATTTTGGAAATTGAATGTAAGTTTTTAAAGGAAGGGTAGTCTTCTGTTTTTGGACACATGTGGGTGTTTGTGGTAGAAGCACCAGAGGATTTTGCCAGGGTTTAATTGGTGGGAAACGATAGCTAAAAAAGTTTTAAGGAATTTTTATATTAATGAGGGAAGAGATTAATCATTAAAACGGTTTTCAAAATATTTAGAGGGGCAGTTGCGCGAATGTTATGCACAAATTAAGCTAATTATCCTGTTATTGAAATTAAAGTTTAAAGGAAAATATCGGAAATTTAAAATGAGGGGTTTGAGGGGGAAAAAGGCTTAAGGGGGGATTGAGGGGTTTTGGGGGAGATCAAACCGTCGGCGTGTGTGTTGCGGATCAACACAGACGCCCCGCAAGGAAAGGGATTAAGGGGGGTGAATTTCATAGGTATGCAGGGGTATAAAGTGATCAGGTGTTGACGACGACTGGGTTGAGTGGGTAATTGATGCTTGGGTTAAGTTAAAAAGCAAAGTGTGGGAATAAGCGAAATAGCATTACAGAAAAATTGGAAGGTTTGTGCAGTTTTGAATTGACAAGAGATGGATTCTTTTTTGGAAGGGCCGAAAAGGGAGTGTGAACGGGGGAAGCTTTATCCGGGGCGCAATTAGGTAAGGCCCGGAAATTTGAGGGGTTCCCAGTGACTTTTATTTCAAAATTGGAGCGTTTTTAAAAAGGGTTTTTTTTTTTAAGATTATTCAATACCCTTAAGCGGGAGGGGGTTTTTAGAGGCACACAAAGGATGATGTGGTCGTTCTAGTGCCTAAAGGCGAGCCTTAACGTCAAAGCTATCGTGCTTTTTCGTTTTTTGGGTTTGGTGATTATAAGATTTTTGAAAAAAATTTTAGCTAACGAATAAAAAAGGCCCGGGGGTAAAGTGATTGAAAAGGACAATAGGGGTGCCGGGGGAAGGGACTATGATGACGGGCAGGGGTTGATTAAAGTTTATTGAAAAAAAGAAAAAAAATTGGGGGGGGGGGGGGGGTGGGGCTTAGATTGGGAGGGGGCATATGATAGTGTAGAACGGGGAAGCGTTATGGGAAAATATGAATGGCAGGGGGTTTTGGAGAGGAATTATATCATGGGCCAAATTAAAAGATCAAGATGCTCCCTTTGGGGTGCAGGTTTTAAAGGAAGGTTTGGAGAACAAATTGATGAAAGGGGTTAGCAAAATTGCCCCTTTCACAAATATTTTTTGCGGTTTACGGATCCCTTTTATAAGGAATTAGGGCTTATTAGCACAAAAGGGGTTTGGGGACGAAAGGGGGGGGGGCCGGCATTTTTTGGATTGTTTATGACACAAGATTTTAGTAAGTGGTAACAGGGGGTTTTCCTGGATGGAAAAGTTTAAATGTTTTTGAAAAAGGGTTTTGGCATGTAATTAATAAAGGGGAAACGAAGTATATGGATCTTGGGGGTGGGTTTAAGTGAGGAATGTGAATAGTTCAAAGGTGGGAAAAAGGTTACCAATTACTGAATGTGGATTTTTATGTAAAGTGATATCAATTAGCACAACAAAAAAAATTCAGTGCGTTTTTTGTGAGGGGCTGAAAGCCTTAGGGTTTTCGGTGCACACTTAATTTTCTCAAAGAGTGATAAGAATGTCCTTTATAGTAAACTTTGGGAAAGTGAGTAATATACCCTACTTGATGAGTACAAAGGTTACAAAAGCGCGTTTTTTGATTCATTTGGGGTACTGGAAAAGAATGGTTTGGTAGAGCGGTTTTTCACACCCCGGGTTGGCCCAGGAGGGTGGGTTTTTAGCGTTGAAAAGAGGTTATGAGTGGTATTTGAAAATAGTTATAAGGGGGGGGGAGGGGGAGGGAAGGGGGGACTTCATAAGATCGACAGGATATGCAACGGGGGGTGGGTGGGTAGGGAGTTCATAAAAAAGGGGAGGGAATGTTACGGGGGTCATCATAAACATGGGGTCCTTCACATTTAAATTTGGGGAAAACCTTTATGGGGTGGATGGAAAGGCGGTGGAGAAGGGGGGTTTTCCGATGTTGATTGGGTAATTTTGGGGGGGTTTGAACAAATTGCGTTTAAAACCCAAAAATCAGAATTATGTAAGATTTTTACATGGGGTCTTACCGTCTGAATGGTTTTATTTCATAAGAGAAACGGGGGGGATGGATATGCAGGGCTTGTGGGGGATGGAACTGTTTTCCATTGGGGTATTTTTCGAAAATATTGAACTAATAAGGGGTTTGGGGTTTGGGGAGGGTAATAAGGTTAGGGGGGGGGGGGGGGTTGCAGGGTTGAGGGGGCTTAAGTTAGAATGGGGGGGTGAATCAAAGGTAGAGAATGGGTTTTGGGTATATAATTTCGGATTATATTTAGTCTTGGGTTTATGAGAGGAGCGAACGTGTGTGAAAAAATTAATATTAACAGCAACTTTTTTAGGCAAAGTGTAGAAAAAAGGTGTATGGGGGGGGGAAAGGGGGAGGGGTTTAAGTGAGGGTTATAGGAATTTCACTTTACGGGATTTACGGGGGTTTAAAGGCGGTAAGGGGGATGGAAAAAGGGCCCCCTTTTTCCCAGAATGGGCGGTTTCAGATGAGTTTTTTGATGAATTTATATGAGGTATGTCCGGGGGTGCAATTTTAAAATTTTTTTGTTTGAGTGTTTCAAATACAAACAGTTATATTTTTGGGAAATTTTCGACTTATAACATGATGTAAATTTTATGTGTAGTGATGTTTATATTGTATCATGTGTATGTATGTGTATTGTTATATAGAGTTATTATATATATATATATATATATAATTAATTTAATTTTATATATAAATTTTTATATATGTGTGGTGTGTGTGTGTGTGTGTATGTATGTTACTTTCTTGTATAACATTTTTGGTTTTCTCAGAACATTTTCAAAAGATATTCAAACATATTTTCTTGAGATTTATGATTTTGATACAATGTGTAAAAGTCAAAAAAGGCTTTTTAGTTTCAATTTTAATTTTCAATGTATTTTTGAAATTAAAATGGTATAAAATACCGACAGGTTGTTAGGGGAAACACTAGCAAAGTTAGGATCTTTTTTATGAAACGTTTGCCACACATAGGGTTCCCTTTAGTAATACAGAAAAATTGATAGAAGCAAAGATACTTGAAGACGAAGAAGAAGCTACTGTGTAGGCGAAAAAGTTTCATAATAAAGATTTCCTAACTGTTGTATGTGTCTTACCTAACAATTGTATTTTTTTTTAACACAATTGTTTGGTGCCAATAGAAGCATAGGTGTTTTGTATATATTTGGGTATTTTTTTCTTTTAAGTCCCAAAGGGGGGCAATACTTGTTGTAGTTTAAGATTTTTACGAACCATTGAAGTTGTATGAATGGTAATTTATTCGTGGTTGGGGTCGACGAATATTATAACTGACGTTGGAAGTGATTTTGTTTAATTTTTACAATATATTTTAAATTTTTTAAAATTTATGAACCTGAATGAAATTTAAATCTGATTTTTTAAAAGGGGAAGATGGGTTTTCCCTTTTTTTTGTTCTTTTTTTCTTTATGGTAATACAAGGTTGATCTGTACACCAAAAAATTGGTTAGGGGGATGTGGTAAATTTTCGTGTTGATTAGACATTTATAATACAGATGGAATTACTAGGCTTGGTTAGGGAAAATTTTATGACAATTGTGGAATGTTCTTTGATTCAAACTGCTCATTATTATGCAAATTGGGTAGAAGGTTTCTACGTATGGCATTATTGAAAAATGTTGAGCTAAATCCAATTGTAGGTACGATGTGTAATGTACATGTGCACACCTGGGCGAGCAGTTTGCGCGGACCGTGCAGTTTCTCATGGACCTTTTATGGTCGGTGTAGGTTTCGCTTGGATGTGTTCTTGACATCCTTGGTTCAATTATCCTATATTTCTTTCCGTGTTCAGAGCAGAAGGTATTTAGTCTGTAAAGAAATAATGAAAGTATACTAGTATTTTATTATTCTAGTGTAAATTAAGAGCAAGGATGATTAATTTGAGGAAGAGTTAATATAGGTTTGCATGTTTTTACGAAAGTTAATTTTATCCACATGTATCTATGTATAGGACAATTTTAAGCTTCGGTATCTGATTTTATATGTAGGTTATAGTGGTCATATTTGTTATATTGTAATGTTATTCGTTACTGTTTCAATATCTAATGTAACGTTTTTCAGTTATTGTTCATATATTGTCATCTTTATGGTTTTTCCTTTTGTCTAATTGTCTATTTGTATGGTTTTAAAGAAAATATATATATAAAAAAAAAACTCAAACTCCATCCTCTTCACCCATTCCCGGTTATACCTTCTAACCTCCACCTTCTTCAGTCACTCACAGTTATACCTATTAACCTCCACTTACAAACATTAATAATTATACCCTTCAACCGGCTAATTCGTCAAGCATGCCCATACTGCTCAACCCGCATTTTCTACAAGTATCCATATAGTATTCTTCAGCCACCCTCAATTACATCCTTCAGCACGCACCTTCTGTAAGATACTCCCCAGTTGTATCCTTCAACACTTACCTTCAACAAGCGTTTCCAGTTGTATACTTCAGCACCCAGCAACAAGCACCACCAGTTGTATCCTTCAGCAAACACCCACAAGTATTCACCCACACCTACAACTACAATCAAAATATATAATTATAAATTTCATGACTAAATAAATCTACTCTTACGGTAGAACTGAATCAAAATAATGTCTTTCCAGTGACAAACATGACTCACCTTCCCATGATGGTAGATGATACCCAGATGACTGGAGTAACCAGGAGCTTATGGAGCCCAGGAAGACCTGGGACCCACGTGGAGCTGGAGCCCGACTGGTGCAGGAGCCCAAGTGGTGCTGAGGCGTTGATGTTAATATCAGTGCACTTGAAATCAACACTTTATGAATACATTTTTCTTTAATAATTCTTATCACAACTTTTATATCACACTTGCTTTTAATGGTCCCTTCACCATCACTTGCCCTCAACACTCCCTTCACCAACACTTGCCCTCAACACTCCCTTCACTAACACTTGCCCTCAACACTCCCTTCACTAACACTTGCCCTCAACACTCCCTTCACTAACACTTTCCGTCAACACTCCCTTCATCACCGGTGTTTAACGACACTCGCGCTAACGACACTTCTCAGCACGTGTTATCAACGATTTAACCAACTCCTTTTTGCAACTTTTGTCAGCAACTTTCTAGCACTTTTTACCAACACTCGTTGTGAACACTTATCAATACTTATAATCATCGCTGAAGAACGCTATACGGTTATCAACATCGTTATAAGCTCACTTTGTGAAAACTTTCCTTGCTATCACTTCCCACATACACACTTTCCTCATCAATGCTTTTAGTACAAGACTAAACTATGATTGTTTGATTAAGTTTAAATCCTGTCGACTACTCGAGGCTGCATATCACTAGTTCAACACCTGTCCATGAGACAGTCATCACTAATATGTAACTAAATTAATGTGTAGTGATGGTAGACACTTCCCGGTGTGTATACACTGATACTCACATCACAGTATTGGTAAGGAAACGTATATAAATATCTTGGTGTATATATCTCTGTTGGTTAACACACAGCCAAGCGGCTTGTTCAGTTGATTTGCCGCCAGACACACTGAAGACAATGTCTGAAAACGTCCCTTACAGAGCTCTGAAGCTGATCATGAACCACACCACTGAGTCGAGACCTCAACCTCAATCTGAAATTTGCAGCCAATTATTAGTATTAATCAAGCTATATGCTATTTGGCATTCGTGTATTCGTGACGCATGGTTAAAGAATAACAAGCTACATTATTCATGTCTGGTGAGTTTGTCATTTGCTAAATATTAATATACTTAACGAGCAAATAATTCAATGTCTTTCAACTAATGGAGTTGAGGTGAACTTCCAACAAAGACGTTATTTTTACTTTGGTTAATTTTTCTGCCTCGGAAGACTTTGCAGTTAAATAAAATTGATTTAAAACAGCAAAATGATGTCCTCCCTTGCCACGACAATGACACGGGGAAGCCTTCCTCTTAATACCAGGCAGTATTTCACTACTGTTAGGAAGTCAAGTGAATGTCTCCCGAACGAGATTTTAGATTTAAATTTTTCAAGTGAGAACGCTCGGTCCTGTTTTCAGTTCATGCGTTGAAACTTTTTATAGCCTTTATCTCGTATTTCATTTATCAGGGTAGTGGTATTTATAAATACTTATATTTTATTGACAGAGGATTATCTAACATAGCTAAACTAACGTAATCTATCATAAATGACGTAAACAGAGAAATGTGTTTCAAACCATACGTAAGAAATCCATATGGAATTGACGAGGATGTGTAAATTTGGAAAACGCGTATGACAGGGTGAATAAGGGGGTAGATTATTGAAAGCAGTGAAGAGTTTTTACGAGGATGGTGAGGTTCGTGTTAGAGTATGTAGGAGAGAGGGAGATTGTTTCTTAGTAAAAGTAGTTCTTAGACAAGGATGTGTAATGTCACCATGGTTGTTCACTATATTTATAGATGCAGTTGAAAGGGAAGTGAATGCCTGGGTGTTGACAAGAGATGTAATATTAATGATAAAGTATCTAACACAAAGTGGGAGGTGTCACAGTTGCTGTTTGCTGATGACACTCTGCTTTTGGGAGATTCTGAAGAGCAGTTGCAGAGATTGGTCGATGAGTTTGGTAGGGTATGAAAAAGAAGAAAATTAAAAGTGAATATAGGAAAGAGAAAGGTGATGAGAATAACAAAAAAAGTTAGGTAACGGAAGATTGGATATCGGAATGGGGGGAAAGAGTATGGAGAAGGTGAATGTATTCAGATATTTAAGAGTGGATGAGTCATCAGTTGGGTCTACAAAAGATGAGGTGAATCATAGAATTGACGAGGGGAAAAAGAGAGTTGTGCACTGAGAGGTCTGTGGAGACAAAGAACTTTGTCCATGGAAGCAAAAAGGGTAATGCATGAGAGTATAGTTATACCAACTCTCTTACATGGGTGTGAAGCATGGGTGGTGAAGGTTGTAACAAAGAGCAGGCTGGAGGCAGTGGAGATGTTGTGTTATTGCTGAGGAGGAGTTGTTGAGGTGGATCGGACATGTAGAGAGAATGTAACAATGTAGAATGACTTCGAGAGAGTATAAATAGTGGAGGGAAGGCGGAGTTGGGGTCGGCCTAGGAAAGGTTGGAGGGAGGAGGGCTTGGATTTTAAGCAAGCATGCGTGAGTGTGTAAGATAAGAGCGAATGGAGACAAACGGTTTTTAGGACTTGACGTGTTGTTGGAGTGTGAGCTAGGTAATATGAAGAGATTCAGGGAAACTGGCAGGCCGAACTTGAGTCTTGGAGATGGGAAGTACAGTGCCTGCACTCTGAAGGACGGGTGCTAATGTTGCAGTTTTATAACTTTAGTGTATGTGCACCTCTGGCAAGACAGTGATAGAGTGAATGATGGTAAAAGTTTTTCTTTTTTGGACCACCCTACCTTGGTGGGAAAGGGAAAGGGCCGAAGTGTTATTTAAAATATAATATAATTATATATATATATATATATATATATATATATATATATATATATATATATATATATATATATATATATATATATATATATATATATATTATATATATATATATATATTATATATTATATGTATATATATATATATATTATTATATATATATATATATATATATATATATATATATATATATATATATATATATATATATATATATATACATATATGTATATATATATATATATATGTATATATATATATATATATATATAATATATATATATATATATAATATATATATATATATATATATAATATATATATATATATATATAATATATATATATATATATATATATATATATATATATATATATATATATATATATATATATATATATATATATATATATATATATATATATGATGGGGTCCACCTCTGGTGTAAATTGTGGGACCCACAGCCTCGGAGAAGTGGATAAAAAGGCTTCAAGGAAGAATATTTGGATTTCTTCCTGAAGCCATTTGAATATTCCACTTCCCCTACCACCCCATCTTTTAAACTATTTTTTTTTACCAATAGGAATATTTTATTACATAATATGGCACAGAAGATTTAAGAGATACATTGTTGATATAAAGGTGGCATATACGGTACATGTTGTTACGTGTGTATCACCGATTATAAGGCGAAAATCTCATCCAGCTCCTCAGAGCTGGGGCGTGTGCCCAAAATGCAGCAGGCATTACCCCTTTGAACAGCCGCACTGAGCCGCTGGAACAGAAAACTAGCTGCCCTGGGATCCCTAGTTACCCTGATGAGTCTTTTTCCCAGCTCCTTAAGGAAATTAGATGCACTCTTTCCCCATGAGCCAAGGGTCTCTGAGCCTATGGGAACAAACATATAATGATGGGCAAGTTCTCCATATTTTCTAGACTTTTTGGGACTCCCTAAAGCTGGCAGCTGCCCCTCCTTCCTCCCTGGTGTATTGGAGATAGGTATCAGCCAAGGTAGATGCACATGTATAGTCCCACACCACCTGCTTCCCATCTGTCCAGGCTTGAAGGGTGATACCATCTGGACGCTTCTGGCTGCCATCAGACCTGCATAGTTGGGGTGGCTCCCTTACTGCTGGGCATCCAGCTGTTGTGAGGCTCCTCTTGATAATGTTATTAACCTCCTCATGTCTTGCAATCTTTCCCTCGGATTTACGGCACACAAGACCATGGTACCCGAATCGGTCTGCTGCTTCACTGCCACAAATACACCTGTGTTCGGCGAGAATAGGAGCGGCAAGTCGAAGGGCAACACCGATGCGGATGGTCTGTGGGTCGAGCCGTGTGCCAAGGCTGGAGTTGGGAACAGCCAACAGAAAGTCCCCAGCATGAGGGGCTCTCACTGCCAGCAGGCGGGCTCTATCCTTCCCTGACACACTCTGAAGCATCGTTGAGGCTATATTTTCCACTATTGGACCATCCCAGTGCGATTGTTTGTAGTTGTTGGGGGGAGCAGGTCTGGTTTCTGAGCCCGTTAGATTATCCCAGATCATTTGTCCGTCAATGAATTTTTGGTCCTGGGCTCCAATCTTGTCCCTAAGATGTTCAGGGAGAATCGCTGCTACAAGCTCTCTGGATGCAATACACGAGGACAGAAAAGCAGGTAACGCAATCTGTGATGACTTGCGGACACCAATGCCTCCTCGTCTGACTGGAAGTGTAGCTTGGTTCCACTGCCCGTCTTCTAGAGTAAGGTTAAGTACTTTCGTAAAAATCTGCCTCAGAATACTGTCATATTCGTGCAGTATAGGGTTATCATATGAAGGTGCACATCTTAGGAAATATGTCAACCTGGGCAGACTCAAGCACTTTGTGAGAAGGTACAAGGCATCGTGGGTGTCCAGATTGCCTATTCGTTGTTCCATTCTCCTTAACTCTTCCAATTTCTTCCTGAGAATTGTGTCAATGGCATTGCTTCCCAGAGGTGCTCCTAGCAAGACACTATTTGTGGGGGCAATGGACTGCTGCTCCTGGTAGTTTTGATCTCACTGCATTTGTCACTTGTTGACTGACTGAGATGATTTCACATTTGGATGGATTCAGGATGAGACCCATTTCCTGTCCCCGTGTCATTACCTGTGTAAGGTCATGTAGGAGGGACTCCTTTGTACCTGCTAGTGTGCCATCATCTAGGAACCATATATATATATATATATATATATATATATATATATATATATATATATATATTATAATATATTATTATATATATATATATATATATATATGCAATAAGATCACAGTAAACAGGTGATTTCAAAATATGCAAAACAACCACTCTGAAAGAATAGAGAAATTCCAAGCGCTTTCGTGACTACTCACATTATCAAGGAACTATGAAAGTAAAGCATCCAAGGAAGCTATATAAGGGGTTTGTCCAGCACCTCACTATCATATTCCCACAAAACGGTTAAACAACGTGACGCGCGCCGACCTTAAATGGATAGGTCTTTGAACTACTCACCCACAAAACTATTCTACCAAATGAAAGTTTTAAATAATTATTATTTGTCCAGTGTATTTATTAATTTCTTCCCGAATTCTATTAATTATAAATGGATCTAATTTTTATTTAACCATATAGGAATATTCATTTATTATTGTCTATAAGCTTTTTATGAAAACAAGTTTCAATTATATTCCTGTCGACCATTAGACTTGACATGATTCTACTTTTATCTCAAATTTTTGAAAATCAATTGGATGGTTAAATTCTCGACAGGAAGTTTATTGAATCTTGTTTAATAAAGACAAAGTTTTGGACAATATACTGAATATTTTCCTTTTGGTTTATAAAATTAGATACATTTTTATTTTAATAGATTTTGGGAAGAATTTAAATTATAACACTGGGTCCAAATTATAATTTTTATAATTTTCTTGGGTTTAGAATAGTTTGTGGGTGTAGTTGTGCAAAGGACTATCCAATGTTGGCGTTCGGAGCGCAGTCACGTGTTTAAATCCGTTGTGGGTTTTGATGTGACGCTGCTGTCCAGACCCCTTATATAGCTTCCTTGGAAGCTTTACTTTTCACTTGCTAATCGAAAAATATTTATTTCTTTGTGTTTGGTTGAGTTTTAATTTTATAGTTGTAAGTTATAGTAAATTATTTTTTGTGGGGTTTGGAT